GGGGGGGGGGGGGGGGGGGGGGGGGGGGGGGGGGGGGGGGGGGGGGGGGGGGGGGGGGGGGCAAGCGAGCAAGTTTTAGTTCTGAGGATATCATATCTGCAAATGTGTCCCCCAGTAGGTTCCTCCCTCATGTCCCTCCTTCCACCACGGCACACCACTGGATTGGCACCTAGGATTTGGGTGGAGTCGGCACGGAAAGTGCGTGTATGTTGACGGCCACAACCGGCCGGACGTCCTCGCCAGGGCGGAGTACACGGCGCGAATGTTTATCCTGCGGCGGACGATGGCCATGTGAGTCGCGTGGAGGGACGTTGGAGTCGACACCTGGTTCAGCAACAATCGGTCAAAAGCAGGGAGCGTGAGAGTTCGAGATTCCAACATTGAGATTGGACGGTTGCTTCGGTTCTTGAAGTGCCAGTCGCGTATGCATTGTATGCACAGTGCAAACACCACCCCGTACCTTGCCCTATTACTGTAGTGCAGTCAGCGTTGCTGCGTATTTCATTCGAAAAAATTACATTGCTCTTAAGAACTAGTATAAAAAAAGTGAGCTTGAAGCAGTGCCACGACTGCCCTTTTACTGCTTCGGTGGCTGAAGATTGCATTTGCTGAAGACAAACCCCGAACGAGAATAGAGATGCATTCTATCCACCTGAGGTCTTGAATATTATTTGTGCCCCCCACCGGTAGGGTTGCTCGATATTCGAAAGACTTGCCTTAAATTTCTGCCCATCCACCTGTGGTCTTGAATATATATGTGCCCCCCACCGGCAGGGTTGCGCGACATTCAAAAGTCTTCCTTAAATTTCTGCCCGAGGATCACTAATTGCACTGACCACGCCATGCCTGCACGCCCTCTACCGCCATCGCCCCATCTCGTCGATAGCCCTGTCCAAGCAGAAACCGTGGTGATGGTGAAAGTCCGCCATGTGGAGGATCCGAAGGAGTTGCCAAAGGGGGTGACGATGACGTCGTCGAGGAGCTGCCAATGGAGAGGGGTGACGACGCCGTCGTCGAGGAAGTGGCAGCGGGCCCGGAGCCGGTGCTTTGGCCAGCAGTACGAGATGTGGCCAGCGGCGGAGTGGACTGCAAGTACGTGCTCGTGTACGGCAACCAGTTCACGGAGGCAGCAGGCGAGGGCCACAGCTGCACGCGTATCTCGGGCGACAAGAATGAGCTCAAGATGTGCGATTGGTGGGGGGACTACCGCTTGGTGCCTGACCTTGAAGTGCAGAAGCTCTACATGGCGACGAAGCAGAAGGAGGAGGCGCTTTTCTGGCCAGCGCGGCGGGTGGTGGACGGCAAGGAGGAGTACAAGCACGTGCGCGTCCACGACGGCGAGCGCGCTCGTGGAGACTGCAAGCGTTTATTGAAACGGAACTAAATAAGGAACTTCGCGCCTGCCTGCTCCTGCGACGACTGCGAGCGCCACGCGCACCGTAAAAATGGGCTCGCCTCCTCCTCCTCGCAGATTCTATTCAAACCTCTCGACCTGCTGGCGTCGGATGGGCTAGAAAAGTTCTGCTTGCTGCCTGACCACGAAATCCTCTTCCTCTATTTTCACGACGAATCGACGGCGAAGGAGAACGACGACGGCGCCTGCCAATGGATGTCGAAATCGAAAGGCGCTGCCATCAAGGTGAAGGGAGAGGGGCGGGCCGCGCACATCTCTGACATTGTCGGCGTGGATAGAGGGGTTGCGGTGACCGGCAGAAGACTTGGGGCATGATGCAGGAGGACAAGAACGTCGAGCTTACAACCTCGATGCACAACCGAACGTCTGCCGGGGCCGGCCACCATTGCGGGGGTTGTGCCGACGCATGGTGTTTTTCCCCAAACCTAACGGGCGCTCTGGAATCTACTTCGGCACGACGGAAAGAGTGGCCTCGTGGTCAAGTTCGTGCAGGATGCGGTCGAGCTGCTGAAGGGAACGCCTGCGGCCTGCCTGGTGACGAAAACGAAGAACGGCCCTTCGACGTCGGCAGTCATCATGACGGTGGGGGGAAACCAAGACGAGTACTGGACAAACGAAAGAATGTGCGAGAAAATCCCGGCGCTAATCGCCATCCACGAGCTGACGAGTGAGCCACACCGACAACTAGTGATGGTCTTTGACAACTCCACTGGGCACGCCGCGTACGAGTCCGGCACTTTGCGGGCTCATCACGTTCACCTTAGGCCTGAGGGAGAGCAGGCAATCCTTGACGACTTCAAGGACGACGAGGGGAATCTTGTTCACACTACGTTTAGGGTTGGGGACAAGCTCTGTTGGAGCATGAACATTAATGCACCGACGACGCCTGTACAGCTGGCGGCGGAACAGGAGGCGGCGCAGAAAAACTCCCGCGCGAAGAAATCCAAGCACGGCCAAAGCTCGGAAAGTTCAAGGCGGGCGAGGTAGTCGAGGCGGCCGGCCCAACCTCCAAGCTGATCGGCCTGGCGAAAGGAGGACAGCAGCTGCTCATGGAGATGGGGCTGCGGAAAGTTGCTGACAAGCCAACGCTTCGTGTTCTCGAGTGCAACGCGTGCAAGATGGAAAGGGCGGCAACAAGGAAAGCCATAACCGCACTCAAGCGCGGCGGAGAGGGAAGGCAGCAGGCGTTGGACGACGCGGGGCGAAGAGACGAGGAAGACGGAGAATCAGGGCACTCCGGAGGGGACGGGGCACAGGGCGGGGCAGCTGGAAACGGTACTGGCAAGAGGGAGCGCTGCTGCGCCACGAGAGTTTTTGCCGAGCTCAAGGCGTTCAAGAAGGAGTTCAACAAGGTCGAGAAGTTATTCAAGAGAGCCGGGCACTTCTGCATTTTCTTGCCCAGGCATCACCCGGAGCTGAACGCCATTGAGCGCTACTGGGGGTACATCAAGTATTTACTTCCCCTCTACTGCGAGTACTCTCTACCCCATGTGCTCAAGCTCATACCGGGCGCCATGAGTGACGTTCCGCTAGGTTTTTATCCGCGCGTGGAGCAGGGCGACGTGGCTGTACCTAGAGGCCTACGACGACGGGCTGGTGGATTACCTTGAGTGCCGCGACCTCAAGGCGTGGATGACCCACCGCTCGTCCACGGACATGGGTGACGCCGTCATTCTGGCAAGGAGGAGAGGGAAGACGGAGGAGGAGAAGCAGGCCGCGAAGAAGAAAGCCCTAGCAGCTGCGCAGGAAGCGAGTACTAAGTTTATCAGGAGAACCGCCGCAGTCTTCAAGGCCTGAAAGAGCAAGGTCGCCTCCAGCAAGGAGGCCTCCAGGGTTTGATCTTGCGCAGAGCGATGAATGCGTGGAAACAGAACGTGTGGTGAAGTTCGTGCTGGTCGTTGGTGGCTTTTATCCGGCCGGTGCATTGAAATTTACTTCATTCGTGTGCTGTCAACCGATTATTTGACCGTTGGTGTTGGGTTGCAGTCGCTCCCACCGATGTGTGTTATGAAGAATGTATGCACATGCATACGTAAATATGCGTGTGATCTAAAGAGTTGGGTGTAGTAATCGTACAAATGCAATAGGATATGTGGTGTTTGATATGCATATCATACTCATACGAGTATACACCAAGCAGTGGTGCAGAGCTTGGAAGCCCTGGGAGTTTCCGTGGTATGCTTTGGGGGTTCCGTAGTACGATTAGGGGGTTTCGTGGTATGAGTAGGGAGTTCCGTGGATGATTTCGACCAAAAATGTTGCATTTTCTACCAAAAAAGAAACTGCAGCTATCGACGTAGCTCGACGAGGCAATCACGAATATCGTTGTTTTATGTTCCAAGTCTTTTTTTTACAAAGATATCGCGCAAAACGCGAATAGAAAAATTGTCTCGGACGGACATAAGCTTCTGTGAAGCTGCCACTGCAGACGATCCTGGGATGCGACTTGGGTGGGGGCCTCTGCCAAGTCTATTCAGCTGCAAAGCCAAAGAGCCAGTACACCGGGGTGTGCTGGCTGACGACTGAAAGGTCTCAACAGAGCACCCTCTTATCTCTGTTTAACCGTGGGAACAGAGTTGGCAATGAATTGTGAAATGGCGCATCTGACTTTCTCAAATATTGTCTCTTCATCGCGTGACAGCGCTGGGAATGATTCTATCTTTTCCCATCTCCGTTCCTCACAATACGAAATCATGCCGCAGTTACCCTCACCCGTGCCATCTACCTGGCACCAGGTACAGCGTCGTGTGATTGCGATACTCCCCGCCGACCTTGCATTTAACAACTACTTCTAACGAAGACTTTTTGTCGGGGTCGACCCCGGGGCCTATGGATGTACTGTATTATAGTTCCATGTTATCCTTTGGGTCTTGGGAGGTTCAAGGTACCGTCGTCGTGGCTCCGATATGAGGGTGATGTGACGCGGACCCTCGACCGTCATATGCCAGAGCCCCCTCTTATACCGGAGTAGGAGGGTACCCATCTATGTTACGGAGGGTCGAATCCGTGACAACCGATTTCGGCGCTCTAATAATCGGAGCCGCGACTGCTATACGGAGTTCGAAGCCCGATGTGACAATCAGAAATAGAACCGCTCATCTCTTCAGACACGGATAAGTAGTTCTCATGAGCGCGACCCCGATATATCTACTCCTTTGCTCTTCAGTTGCATAGCTCTCTGCAAATGATTACTTTTTCTCCAGTTGCGGGACGCGGCGACAGCAGGAGCAACGCAGCCAACGCGCACATCACTGACACCCCCCCCCCTCTTCTTCTCACAGCAGCCCGCAGCAGTCCTCCAAGAAACCGGCGGTAGCAGCAGCAGCAACAACAACAGAGGTTAAAGATGGCGATAGGAATGCTCCGGCGGCCAGCAGCAGCAGCAGCAGCTCAAGTCGTAGTGGTAGTAGTAGTAGCGCGACGGGAGCAGGAGCAGGCGGGGCGAAGGCTGGGGCTGGGCCGGGCAAGGGAGCGGCGGCGGCGGCGGCGGCGGCGGGGGAAGAGGAAGTAGCGCCCCCCCCGGACGTGGAAGGGATTCCGAACGAGACCCTTTTCGTGGGAAACCTCAGCTACAGGCGAGCTTGGAGTACCTAGTCTTTGCTGTTGTCGGCGCTGTTGCGAATCTGTCGCTGGTTGATGGTGGCGACGCGCCCGAGCTGTTGTTGCCTATTGTCCATTGTTGTTGTTCCTGCGACAAAACTTAATGCGATCTGTATCTAGATCCAGTTGGACGAGGCCCCCACCGCGCCCTCCTGCTGAGCTTGTGGTACTTTGAGGTCTTGTTTCTTCGCGAATGGTGGGGCTTTGCGCTGGCTCCTTTTCTCTTCAATCGTCATCTTTTGGGGGGTTCAAAGTATTTGTAAATGCAGAGTATATGTGTTTTGTCAAAGGGCAGGAACGGGTCTGGAAACCTTGTTCATTGAGACGACAGCAGCAACAACGACAACGCTAACGTCGATGCCATATGTGTTGAATTGGAGTGGAAACGCCTGTTGCGCCGCGGTGTCAATGCCATCAGGGTGTCGGAGGCCGTGATCATCAAGCTCTTCACGCCGTTCGGCAAGGTGGTTCGGGAGCAGTTCTGCTACCACAAAGTGGGGCCAAGACTCGGCGAGCCCAGAGGGTGAGTGAATGGTGTGCGAAGATTTCTGAATTTTGCCCCTTCAGTCCATTTTGTCTTTTTTTTTTTTTTGTGCCCAAATTCCGGCACGTTACGTTTTCTCTCTTCCTCTTGCACCGTTTAAGTCCTTGGAATGACCAAGATGTTCAGAAGATCCACAAGTTACACAAACGCACGAACACACCTGATTTTTTTGTCGCTGATGTGACCAAGTACAGGTTTTGGTTCGTCGAGTACTCCAACGGACGTGTTGCGTTTGTTCTCTTCCTGGACAGGACAGTCCCTCCTTCGAATGACAAGAGATCCCGAGCATCCACTCTTCCTGTCGCCCCACAAACGCACAAACACGAAATAAAGGTTCTGTTTCGTGGAGTACTCCAACGTCGATGACGCGGCCAAGGCCATCCGAGCGCTCCACGGCCGGAAGCTGTACGGTCGCCCCCTTCGGGTCCGCTTCATGACCGTGGAGGGCAAGGGTCGCATGGACTACTCCACCACCGACAGCAAGGGCTCGACCGCCACCAGCGGGAGTTTTGGGGCCTACGGGTACGAGGAGGGAGGGGAAGGGTTTTTGGGATGGGATTACATAGTCTTTGCACACTCTTCATGGACTCAACCAAGGTAGCCCATTTTGTTTTTGGCCGTTCAGCGGACTGGATAGTGAGCAAGGCGTCGTTGCTGCCCCCCGACGACGTGTGGTCGTATCGGCTCTTGTTGCTTGATTTTGTTATTCTGTTTCTTGGCGGAGAGTAGCAGGAGGCAGGCCCACACCTTCGTGTTTTGTTGTTGGTTCGCTCGTGCTCATCGGCGTCGAATTTTTGGCGGGAGAATGGTTGGGGTGGCGGTGGAGCTGCGGCTGCTTTGGGGAGTTGCCGTCCAGTGATAGGAGTCGTCACCACGACAAGCCACGATATTCGTTCACATCAAGATGGAATAAGACAGCAACAGCAACAACAAGACACCACCACCAAATGAATGTAACGACGAAAATGGTGTTTCGTGTACTCTCTACTCTTCGGGTCCATTTTATTTTCGTAAAACTTGTTTTGGGTGAATTGGCCGGTGACCACGGGAATCGACCCCGTCAAGTGTTGGGACTATTTCGGACAGAAAAAGAAGGTACTGGGCAGAGACAGCGGAACGTTTTTTTTTTGTGAAGACAACAACAACAACAACAACAACAACAACCGACACCTGCACAAAGACACCCTCGTCACTTGTGTGGATCACTCGGCTGCGGGGTCTGTACGCGAGAGCCCCCCCGCCCCCCCTCGTCCTCTGTCATGTTACATTCCCTATTGCAGTCCCCCCTCGCCTGTGGAGTATTGAACCCACTGGCCTGCCAGGTGATGCCATGCCGAACTATCAGACCTGACATGTCGCCGCGTTCTATGCTGCCCGCGGTTTGCTCCCGACTTTTTTTTTTTTTCTTTCATTTTCCTTGCCCAGGGATGGCGCAAAGATCCAACCCCCCCCTGGCGCCGGCGGCGAGGCTGGAGCAGCGGCGGGTGTGACGAAGTTATCCTTGGACAAGAAGGTCGGTGCCTCGCTCAACTGGTACATGGTATGCTAACTCGACAGGAGATGTTGTGTTTCGGCGTAAAATTACCACGACAAGCAGTAGTTTTGTGTTGCATGCCTTCCCTCTCTCGTTGCAGTGTGATACCGCGACAGGAGATGTGTTTTGGCGGAAAGGTTTAAAATTGAATAGCTTCTCCTTTTTTAAGTTTTCCTCGCTCGTTAGCAAGTGCTTGTTCTTCTCGTCCCTCCCGGTTCCCAAAAATTAACAAAGAAAATAAATAAAAATAAGGTTCATTGGGAGATAGAAATGACATGTTGGCAACGCGACGTCCCGCGGGTGTCGCATTTGAAAGATTCTGATGAAGAGTGGTCAACCAAGTCTTCGACGAGAACCGTGTGCGGCGGGCATGTACCCGCACACCCGCCCCACGAAAAACCAGTGCCGAAAAAGCCACACTACGTTGTAGCGGAACAAACAAATGCATACGCACGCATCCCAGCATGGTTGCTTCCGCCATTCGGCCCCCCATTGTCGCAATCGCCCAGGCACGTTGATTTGGTACGTGTTTTGGTTTTTCGTCACTTGACCCGATCTCTCCGGGGCCTTTCTTTCCTCTTTCGTTCTTGTTCGGTTGCGCAACCCGGCAGGTGGCGCTGTTGAAGCTGAAGCTGCGTGAGGCGCAAAAGGCGGCGGGAAAGCGATAGAGAGCCATAGGTACGACGCAAGAAAATTCCACGAGCAGGGGCAACTGCGTTCCTATATAAGTAGCGAATATGAAGACCGGTCTTAGGGTTGTTTGTTGCATGGCGTGATTGATGAGATTGCGTGGTCATGTGGCAACTTTTTTGTGTCGCTTACAGTACCCTGGGTTGTCTTCAAGTGGTACTGTAGCAGAAGTGGTGAGGAAGCCACGACAAGGCTGCCCTTAGTCTTGTCTGCCCGGGCCTGCTTACCGTACAGTTGGGGTCCCGGAGAGGAAAGAAAAGGTAGCGTTGGGTTGAGACCAGAGGAATCGCGCTCACGTGAGACGCACGAATTCGTAGGACTACAAGGCTTGAGGCCAACTTTGTCGGGGGGGGACGGGGCGTTGTTGCTAGGGATGTGCAGGCGTAGATTGTTGTTGCAGTTTTTGTGCTTTGGTGTTGGTGTGGGGTACGACCTTACAGAAAAATAGTGGAGGAAAGGCGGCACTGAGTCTTTGACACGGACGCGGGACGCGGCATCTCGAATGCACGTCGCAGTACGGCTGTGGGTGGACACGGAAGGGAAATGATACCACTGGTTTCGCGATGTCAGGTCGTTCGTTCATTGCAGACCGGCGTCGAAGGTCTACCTGGCGCGCTTTCAATGTCCCAGGGGAAAGTTCTTCTACTCTTGAGAAGACCTCTGCGACAACATCAACAGTCCACCGCATGCCACTCTAAGGTGGCTGGTTACAGGTCTCCAACCTTCTCAGTAAGAGACGAATGGTAAATATGCTGCTGCTATTTATGGAGATGCGTTATTCGCTGCCACGACTGTTGTCGCTCCGTAGCCCGTCTTTCAAGTTTTTTTTTTGTCTCCGTCCCACAGCCGGCCTCCTCTTTTTCTTCTCGTCGGGTGTGTTTACGGCGGCCGGTGTCTGCGTGCGTCTTCCTAGGACGCGTGTATTTTTTTGCGCTCACAAAAGAAAGCGCTGTCCTCCATACAAAACCCGGCGGCGACGCTAGTCCCAGCGGAGTTGATCGCGGGAGGAGGACATTTCAGGAGTTCAGCGTACGGATGCCTGCGGCTTGATTCTTTCGTCGTCCTACGTGCTCCGGTCAACTCAATCGCCTATTCAAGGCGGGTGCTTCGGTTAACTTAATCCGAAATCACGGCCTCCCGCATGGAGGGTCAAAAGGGAGATGATGCCAATTTCGCCCGAAAATAACCACGTTCACATGCAACCACCGTCGGCGGCGGCAGAAGATAGATACTGCTGCTGTAGGGGCCAAATACTGAATCCTCACGAAGCGTGTCGGGACCACGCGCAATCGTACCGCCGCCCACTGGCGGAAGAGTAGAATGGACTCCTTCATGACATCCACGACAGAGCACTGGATCACATCGAAACGTGCCACAGGGCCATGGGAGTAGTAAGTAGGCAAGCAGTGTTGGGTGGGGGCAGTGGGCCGACTTTTGAGTTAGGCGACGAGGACTTCCCGTTCAACCAACCCTCGGGCGACGACGGCGGCGAGCAGAAGGACGCCGAGCAAGAGGAAGCGAAGGAGGAAGAGGAGAATGGCCACCGCAGCACATTGCCAACGAAAAAGTAACTCGAGATGTCCTTGCTCTAGACCTCATGACGCACGTGTCTCCCCTGTCCTGTCGCGCCTCACCCCACCACTAACCACCATCACCGCTCTATTGAAACGACCCGGGTCTCAGCAGTGGTTTACATATATACCACTTTGCCGATCACGGGGCCATGCGTTTTTTCTATACAAAACCCACACCAACCTACCCAGGGAGTTGGTGGGTAGCCCCACGGACTCCCTCTACCTCCCCACAGTCTTCCCCGTGCGACGAGAACTTCACTTACTTTCCGTGGCCGGGGTATGAAGGAGGGTCGTGGTGTACATGCCCACACACTACATGGTATTTCTGTGTCGGCAACCTGACGACGAAAACACCCCCCCATTCGAGCGCTCGTTCTCTCTCTCTACTATGCGACCCACGGAAACATCTACACACAAAGAAACAGCGAGAGAACACGAGTATCCCTTACAAATATTTGTGTGCGACACCTACACAACTACTATTGTAGCAACAGCCATCAAAATCTACGTAGATACCTTCCAAAAACAACAATGATAGCCACACGCGGTGGAACGATTGTCTGTGTGCAGCAACACAACATATTATTACCAGTACAATTTAGGCAGTCAGTTACACCGCATGTTCTAAAACGAACGAATGAGCAAAAAATAACGTTGCACCTGACCCGCTTTGCACTTCGCACGCCGTCGCGAAACAAAACCACTGATGGATACCACTGGCTCTTGCCAAACTTCAAGTACCCCCCCCCCCCCTCTGTTGCTCTCCGCACGCTGGACGTGTCGGAGCTTCATTGGAAACAGAGCAGGCCCGCTCCAACTTTCCTTCATCTCTCGTGACGAGACGAGAGAAAACAAAACGATCGAAATGTTGACAATCACAAAAGCAGTAAACTCTACAAGCTCCGGCACCGCGACGTGCTTCCGACGTCGCGCGCGTGCAAGAATACTTCCACGGCATTCACGCCACGGCCACCCAGATGAATCTTGGTTGACTGACAACTTGGCCAATCTGTATGCCTTCTCTCGCCACCTTAAATACACGTGGGTTGGCTTGAGTGAACGAAGTACACCCTTAAAATTGCTGTAAATACTGTGAATCAGACACACACCTTACACCCGGCCCGGTGCCCTGAATACCTCTCCTCTACTTTAATGCGCTATAGTACGGCCTGCAGACAACCAGGTGCCCCGAACATCGCCTTATCGTCGCATACAAACGAAAGCCGACGATGTTCGCTCGTCGTTAAAAAGCAAGACTTACAAACCGGAAGCGCAAGTGGCGCCCATCCATCCTTCCCCTCGTCGTCTCTGCTTGCATCAATTTAGCATCGTACACGTCAAAGTAAGCGGGCCCGCCACACCCACATCTGCACACCGACCACTTCTTTCGATATATACCCCAAAAAAGCCCACACAGCGTGCTGACGAACCTAGCGGCATAAACCGCGAACCCACCCACAACCACCCGAACAAATTAAAACGTTGGGTGCACACTAATGACCTCTCTCATAAAGTCCAAACACAAACTTCGCGCGCCGCATCGCAGCGCAACAAACTGCGAGCATCCGCCGATAGCAGCGGAGCTCCTGTTTCCTCTTCCGTCCGTTTCTCAAAAGACACGCGTGATCCGTCGTAAAAAGCTTCGTCGGCGTGGTGCGCCACCAAAACAACCAAGCCACATTCACCAGCTACTCCAGACAGACCCAAAGAAGCGGAAGCAAAAAACAAGGGCGCGCGTGCTTCGACACGAACGAAGAGCGCCAACAGCAGCAGCAGCAGCAGCAGCGCGGGGAGAAAACTAACAGTCTTGTCCTGTCCCGTACGGCCAAAATAGGCACCAGGAAAGGTGCTCACCACTCGATGCCGCCGTGAAAAAAGTCTTCACCTCCTAGAAAAATAATAGAACACCCAGCCCCGACCGATCGGTGCCTGGCCGCAAACGAGGGGGGGGCGGTGACATCACGACTGCCTGCCAACAGCGGCTACAACAATGTTTACCTAAATTCCTACAGTAAGGACAACGTCAACGCACCGCCCGTGTACAGGCCGCAGGAACCGGCTTGAATGTGCGAGCACCACAAAACCGAGTACTTTCACACAGGACTGGCATGACAACGGTATGATGGCCGCTGCCGAACCAAACGATATTACCCCTCGATAACTCAGACAAAACCAAAGCAGAGACAGGCCAGGCCGGGCCAGGAAAGACGAAACGAGGAAAACATTCTATCGTAGAACATTCTAGAAGCAATGAAAGGCGGTAGGGAGGCACCCAGAAGAAGAATCGTCAGCACCCGACGCCCGGTCTCAGGAGGCGCGTCCCGCACAGCTTGAGCTGGGACAACCCCTTGCAGTTGTGGAAGAACATCTGCTTCCTGCGGGTCTTGACCGTTATCTGGGTGCGGGCGCACAGGCAGTCCCACAGGTGGGACGTGTGAAGGTTGTACATCTCCACCATCTCGCGGTCCACCTTCGTACACGGCAGACGACAAGCGCAAGGGGGGGGGGGGTG